TCCAGCACGGAGAGAACCTCCTCGGTCTGGCCACGGCCACGGAGGCGCGGGTGTTGGGCGGCAGGTGGGCGGGCGGGGCCGACAGGTACTCGGGCAGGTGGGCCTGGAGGAAGGCCAGCATCTCCAGCGAGTTGGACATCCAGAACACGATGGGCTTGAGCAGGGGGAGGAGCTCATCTGTGGCCTGGATCGGATCACTGGGTCTACGGAGGGGGGAGTGGAGGAGTGAAAAACAATTATTGATGATGGGAAACTCAGGCTACACTTAAATGACAAATGTTAACAAAAACATGTGACAGAAAGTTTTAGATAAACCGTATCATGAACGACATTGCCACTTGTCCTGAGCGTCTACTGAAGAGGAGTCTGTGTGATTCAATTCAATATTATTATACGCTACCCTCATCATGACCGTTACAGGTTGCAGTTTTGTGATGGTGACTCACACTCACCTGTCACCTGGTCTGTTGGAGATCTCCTTCGTTCTCTCCTGAAGAAAACACAAGATGGAAGTCAAATCTTCTGGTTCGAAGTATATATGGTACACAATGACAGTTTGCTACCTTGTGCGCCAAAGTGCATTGCTGCTGCAACTTGAATATGCGAAATATACATTAAAAGTCACATTGTGGATAGGAGAAAACTCATCCTTGTTGCAGTAATTAAAAGTTACCCAGAAATAAACTCACCCAAGCGATGCTCTGTACCAGACTGGAGATCTTCAACAGCAGTTTCCTGGTGGTGGTCTGGTCTCCCATCATAGCGGAATATTCCACGCAGGCACACATCAGGTATGCCGGGGACAGCTTGTACCCAGGACCTTCCATGGTTACCATGGTAGTCACATATTCCAACAGTTCGTCCTCCTTTCCGGGAAGGTAACAGAGTTTGAGTCTCGCCCGGTCTGCCTGCCAGTCTAGAACTCTCTGGTTGGGCGCGGGCTTCAGTTCTGGTTTTTCGTGTGGACTGGTGAGTTCCTGGTTAGGAGGAGGGGGTTCCTCGGGGATCAGTTTTGGGGCCGGCGGCAGACTTTTCTCATCCACGATAGAAGTCTGTACGGAATGCGAGACCGGGATGTAGTCAGGTTCGGCGGACTCTCTCCCCGTTAACCACTTGAGTTCCCTGGGGATCTCTGGCGCTCCAGAGGTCGGGTCCTTGAACAGGGTGGAAGACGAAACACATTTTGTTTGTTTTGTATGTTTGTTTAGCATTTAATCCAAGTAATAAAAAAACATAACGTAACAAAGCTATAATTCAAGATAAAATAGATAGCAAAGCTATGAACATAAGGGGGTGGCATAGGTGGCACAACAGTTAGAGCGTTGAACCGATAGGTCCTGGGTTCGATACTCACCATTCACCGATGTTGTGCCTTTGGGAAAGGCACTTTACACGACTACCCTCCCGATACTATGACACCCACTGAGCCTCTTCGGCTAACCTGTCTAACTGTGTGCCAAAAAAACACTATGGATTTGGTGTGCCAATGTGCCAACATCTGCACATTTGCCACCAAGGGCCGAAAATGACTTAATGACTTAAGTCGGGTAACCCTGGCCGTTGTAAGCAGAACTAATAAAAAGTAAAATAAAATAGCTGACCTTGAACAAGAAGACGTAGTGTTCCCCCAGGGCGACCAGGTCCCCCGGGTTCAGTTCCACACGGGTGTAGACCGGCACGCCATTCACGGTCAGCCGGGCGCCTCGCAGAGGTTCCGCCGTCACCACCTGGGTTTGTGTAATAATTATTAAAAGGTAAGATATGCATGTGGAAAAAAAAATTTAGTCGATCATCATTATAAACTTAAGGTTGAATCAAAATCACAATCATTCACTTTCAAATTCACTTCTTTCTGCTACTGCTACTCAACTAATATGACGACTACTTTCTCCAACTTCTACTCTAGAGTCTGCAGCCTTCCTGCATAGCCAGCAGTGCTGGGGGAGGATGTCCTGAGCTACTACTGTAACTACAGTAACTACTAACTACTACAGTAACAGTAACAGTATTACCACTACTACCTACCTACCTGCCGTACAGACTCAGAGTCTGCTGCCTTCCTGTACAGCTAGCAGTGCTGGGGGAGGATGTCCTGTACTACTGTAACTACAGTAACTACACTACTACTAATACTACTTACTACTCAACTACATACCTGCCGTACAGGCTCGCTGCCTATAGAGTCTGCAGCAGCCTTCCTGCACAGCCAGCAGTGCTGCGGCAGGATGTCCTGAACTACTGTAACTACAGTAACTACACTACTACTAATACTACTTACTACTCAACTACATACCTGCCGTACAGGCTCGCTGCCTATGGAGTCTGCAGCCTTCCTGCACAGCCAGCAGTGCTGCGGGAGGATGTCCTGTCCGGACAGGAGGATGTCGACTTTCACCGGCTCGGGCGTCGCGCTGCCTTCCGTCTCTGTCCCCTGGTCCCCCGGCCCCCTCTCCGGACCCCCCACCTATAGGAGCGATAAGATTTGTACTAGTCGGTAAAGTGCCTGTTGTTACTTTAGCAGTTTTCAAGAATAATAATATTATGCAAATCAGCCTATTTGTGATTATCAAAATAAAATAAATCACAAATAAACCACTCATTCATCCATCCATTCTTTCATTCATTCACTAGACCCGACGTTTAATTCGTTCATTTAGTCATTCATTCATTCTTTCATTCATTTAATCTGACATTCATTCATTCATTCATTCATCCATTCATCCATCCATCCATCCATCCATCCATCCATCCATCCATCCATCCATCCATTTCTTCCTTCCTTCCTTAATCCCTCACCTCCCCTCCGCGCCCCACCATGGCTACCGGTTCGCTGAGAAGGTACAGTAGCAGGTCCTGTTCTGGGTTGCAGCCGCGGATGGTGAGCAGGAAAGGGAAGTCCACAGGCGGTCGCACGCTGTACGCCGAGGTTGTGCCCTGCGAACTCTCCGTCTCCTCAGGCTCCTGGTCATGGCTGTCATCCAGTCTGGAGTTCAGCTATAAAGGGGAACAGTTCAGTTTGCTAGTCCATCTCTAGTTAGTTTGCTAGTCCATCTCTAGTTAGTTTGCTAGTCCATCTCTAGTTAGTTTGCTAGTCCATCTCTAGTTTGTTTGCTAGTCCATCTCTAGTTAGTTTGCTAGTCCATCTCTAGTTAGTTTGCTAGTCCATCTCTAGTTAGTTTGCTAGTCCATCTCTAGTTAGTTAGCTAGTAAATCTCTAGTTTAACTAGTCCATCTCTCTCTCTAGCTAGTCTGCTAGTCCATCTCTAGTTAGTCTGCTAGTCCATCTCTAGTTAGTCTGCTAGTCCATCTCCATCTCCTCTGGCCCAGGAAGATGTGGAAGGCCAAAACCATCGTGGCTCACCAAAGAAGGAGTGCTTTGACAATGTAAGGGAGGAATTCCACCACTTGAACCTACATAAAATCAACCCACAGGATAGAGGCAAGTGGCAGGCTGCCATCAGGCAGCAATATTGCAGTGCAAGCACATTTTACCATTTGAAGTCGGGGAACGACAGGCGATACCCCGGACAGTTTGTGAGTGAGTGTTAACGAATACTGACCTCTAAGCTGTTTCCGATGTCCTTGAGGTCGCGTGAGAGTTCGTCCTCCCCGACCGTTCGCGACCGGCCGCGTGATATCCGGCGTGCCTGGGCGTTGATTCCCGCCGTAACCGTGTCCACCTCATCACACTGCAGCAGGTGGATCTCCTCTCGTCTCCGCATCTCAAATCTGACAAGTCAGCAATACAGAAATCAATCAATTTATATATCAATCACTTAATCAATAAATTAATGAAATTTATCAATAAACCAATTAATTGATAAAATCAATTGATCAATAAATATATGATAAGATCAATCAATATATCAATCCATCAAAGAATCGATCAATCGATAGATCAATCAAGACATTCATTGATTCATCAATAAATCAATAAAATGATTAATTCATGCATAAGCCAATGCATTAACCTATCAATCGATAAGTCTATCAATCAATAATCTCAATAGAACTAATCTATCCAGCGACAAATCGGTAGATTGGAACACTATATACACTGTATATGTCTTATACTATAGTTGTCACTTATACTAAGTTGTCACTAAAGCTACAGCTAAAGCTACAAGATATGTATAGGCAGCAAACCTTCTGAAGTATCCGGTTTCCGGTTTCCATAGCGACTGAATCTCCAATGGCTTCTCGTTGTCTCCGATGACGCGGACGCACTCCTCCTCCCAAATCTGAAATAAAGTAAAGACACAGGACAGATTTAAACATTCCTCAAGATTCTGAGAGCTTAAATACTTTTCTGAGCAAGAAGAGCATAATAATCTTAAGGGACTTGACATCTATATGTAATTTTTCAATCTTACCTTTTCTTCGTTTTTCCCTTTTTTTCCTGGGGAATGATGGGTAATCTCATCCGGACGGGGATCCCGCAATCTCCCGATGACGTCACACAGCACGTAATCCGCATGTGTGTCTCTGTGGCAGACATGAAAAAAAGGCGAACATAAATTTACAAGCAATAAAGATTTACAAAGACTTCCACCATAAACAAAAAGTGATTACCTGTCTATGGAGTAGAAAAATTATCTACTGAGTAGACATACCTGTCTAGTACCTGTTTTCTCACCTTAAGCACACCTGTAGACATACCTGTCTACCAGTTTCTCACCTTAAGCACACCTGTAGACATGCATGTTGTACCTTGTTGTGTCTACCTGAGTGTGTTCTCACCTTAAAGCACACCTGTAGACATACCTGTCTACCAGTTTCTCACCTTAAGCATACCTGTGTTCTCACCTTAAGCACACCTGTAAACATACCTGTCTATAGAGTATCTCTCCAGCGCCTCCTTGACCAGTTCTCTGGCCGTTGACCCCCGCGTGGCTAACACACTCTTGTAGTTCGCACCTTGTTCAATCATGGCACCGAACACCTGGGCAGGTGAGAGCAGGACAGGTGTGTTAGTGGGTAACTATGACAAGGGGAATTCAGCTGGGAATCAAGATAATTTATTATGTAATAGAGTGAGAACTCTCAGCCATCTTCAAGCTATATCTGAGCCTTGTACCTGTACGTAGGACCTCACAGGTTAAACCTAATAAAAGGCAAAGCCCAGGAATAGATGTTTTACTATCTAAAGAATAATTCTCTACGTACTTACCATACTGCAAACCCACAATTATTATGATTTTCCCTGTAACACAACATTCACGTGATCTCATAGATGCACCATTTTGGTGCACATGTAGTGCAGGTTATAACGTTATGCTACCCCACAGGTAAACAAACACACAGGTATGCAGACTAATTATATTCCTGTTGCCCCTCCCCATCCTAGCGGCCAACTGCTCAACTGCACACCTGTGTACTCCCCTTAAGCACACCTGTGTTCTCACCTTAAGCACACCTGTGTTCTTACCTTAAGCACACCTGTGTACTCACCTTAAGCACACCTGTGTTCTCACCTTAAGCACACCTGTGTACTCACCTTAAGCACACCTGGTGCCGTCATGTCCGTGGACAGTTCTGAGGGAGATCCCTCCTTTTTCTTCCCCCTCAGACTTAAGCCTCGCTGGAAGATCTGAGACACCGACTTCGTCTTGCCCAGACTTTTCCGCGCCCGGTTCCTTTAAGACATTAAGTCATGATGTAAGAAATCACTCGTGCTTTAAATTTTGCATACATCTCATAATTGTCAAGTGATTGTAATTACTCAATAAATAAACTCTGTTTACCTGACGACTTCAAGATTTAATAAACCAGCATGGTGGACGGTGTTTATGTCATGGTCACATGAGTGCTAGACAGCAAGTAGGCAGAACATGCTGCCCCTGATGGAAACCCGAAATGTGTTGTGTATAGGACTTTAACAGAACGTCTTTTACAATTTTTTTTACGTATTTAAGGGTGACATTTCATCTATGGTTTTTAGATTTCGCGTTGTAAATGATATCGTCTGCAACGGGAAAAATTCTGATGAAACGTTGACCCAACCAGATCCGTGAAAAATACTGTTTTTTCGGACTTCACGTTCTGCCGACGTGCGTGCGACTGTAGACCTACTTGGACGGCTGCCTGACGCCGGTGACCTCGGGTGACCCCACCATGCTGTCGTCATGGCGACCTGAGCCGAACGACGTGTTGGCAGACGACAGGCTGGAGCCGCCCGCGCTGTGGTTGCCAGGCGACCCGTTCATCACGTGACCGGCCAGCGAGTGCGTCGAGTCGAACAGTTCCAGAGCCTTGAGATTCAAGATTCCAGATGTTATGAAGCAAGTTTGAACTGCACTATTATGTCCAACACAAGAAATTGGAAAAAGGAATGAGCAATCCACCGCTTCCGTGACGTCACGCCGATAACACACGTGACTCCGTCAGCAGTCGATCATAGGTTGCAGAAAGTCTGTGGCGCCCCCGTCTATATTGAGGGAAGGCCGTAATTACCTGATGTATATGGCCCTTTTAATCCCTTGTGCGTAGTAACTGTAGTAATTTATAGACCATATAATTTTGTTCTTTAAAGTTTAGTTCTTTAAAGTCTCAGTCACAAAGTTGAACAAACCTCGCAGAGTGAAGGAAGGCTGCTCGACTTTCTCAACTTCCCGCCAGAACTTTTCCCGCCAAAACTCTTCCACTGCCGGCCCCTCACCCGCCAACCGTCATCCTCGTCCTTGGCGGCGCGGGATTCCCAAGACACGCTCACTCCTTAAGACATGACATTTGAAAAATCCAATGTAATTTCACGGCGACAACATTCGGTAATATTCTGAATAAAGTAATCGGTAGGATGTTGACACACTTGGGTGCTTATTAAAACAGCACAGAAACAAGTCACCAGATGAGCCCTTTATTTTGTGGGTGGTACCCCGAAAATCAGTGTGATAAAACAAATCGAATTTTTGTTCCATTAACGTCTAATACATTGGAATGGTTTTTTAAGCTTACTATCTAAGTTATATAAGGGCAAAGAACATTCATTTGACTTCGTCAAATAAAGTTTCCAAGCCGTTGGATTCCTTTAATCTCAATACATGTATTTTGTTGAGTTAAAGAAAACCCCTAGTTTGCAAGCCATTTAAGACAACTGTAGTTCGCACCTTTAAGAAAGTGCTTGTTCCTCCTCCTAGGTGACTTTAAGACGCGGCCGTCCCCGGATCTTGAGGAGCCTTCCGAGGACCCGCTGTGCCTCTTGAGCTGCTGGCGGCAGTACTCCTCAAACTCCGCCTCGATGCCGTAATGCTGCACTAGTCTGCGTCGGCTGGCTGGCGTGCAGCAGTAGATCTGGGCTACTACCTGTGTGAGTAGTATAACATGCCAGGGCAGTGTCACATTATTCAGGAGGCACAAAGTTACTAAACTGTACTACAGATGCCGTTATGCTGCACTGATCTGGGCTACTACCTGAGTAGTATAACATGCAGAGAAAGTCTAACATTATTCAGGTGGCACAATGTAACATTAGATCTGGGCTACTACATGTACCTGTGGTGAGTAGTATAACATGAAGAGAAAGTCTAACATTATTCAGGAGGCACAAAGTTACTAAACTGTACTACAGATGCCGTAATGCTGCACTAGCCTCCTTCGGCTGGCTGGTGTGCAGCAGTAGATCTGGGCTACTACCTGTAGTGAGTAGTAGTGTTTTCCTATCATGAGGTTTCATCTGTGTTGGTTTAAGTTACATGTTTAGAGTAAAACTTTCGATCCAACACAAAAAAGTTCTCTCACCTAGAGCTTTTGACCAGTCACTCTGGTCTTCCTCAGTAGACTGACTCAGTGAGGCTTGTCACGTGACCCAGTGTTGATGTCACACTTCAAAGAAGCCAGAGTGACTGGTTGAAAGCTCTAGGTGAGAGAACTTTTTGTGTTGGATCTCAAGTTTTAACTCTTAACAAATCAATCAACTTGATTGCTCAACAACTGTAACTGGTACAATGTATAAACATGATAAACATGAAGCAGAACAGCTTACCTCTTGCCTCCAGCTGCCCTTGTTCCTGAGCACGAACCTGGGGGTGCTGCGCACACTCACGGCGATCTCTAGGGGGCGCTCTTCTCCGTCCAGCAGAATGGCGTCTGGGTGGGAGGTACAGTTGTGTGTTAACATTTGTAGGTTAACATTAACATTTATTTAGTCATTCAGTCTTTCATTCATTCATTTATTCAGTCAGTCATTCATTCAGTCAATCATTCATTCATTGAGTTATTCACTAACCCATTCATTTATTCAGTCATTCATTTATTCAGTCATTCATTTAAATTTTTCAGTAACTCAGTCATTCATTCAGTCATTCATTTTGTCATTTATAACCGCATCCATCCATGCCTTTGTTGATTCATTCATTCATCCCTCCATTAAACAATTTAACAAGTACAAAATCTGACTCAATGAGATTGAAAACTTAATTCGTTCGTTCGTTCAGTTTATTCAATCTTTCGTCAATTCATTCACAGATTCCCTCTCTTCGCCCACGGAACGCCAAGAACGCGTAACCTGGAACGCGTGCAATAATCGCAAGGGGGCGTTTCTGCGCGTGAAACATCTGTCTCGTCAGCGTCCAGCCGCATGACCATCTCATCAGTCAGGTTACATACATGTAGCTGTAGCACGTCACGCCTCAGCGGCAACCAAACGTTACAAAACTACCTGGCTAGCACTGTTCGGCCACATCGACTTAATATTATGGATGACATCCGCGCGCGCATTGTTTTTCGCCTAAAAAAAAAAATCACCGCCTCCGAGGCTCTGGCCCAGGTGCCTCCATAGTCCTAGTCTCTACCAGACTTAAACTACGCTGGCTATATATAGGAGAAAATTTGCCGGGGGATCCGGAGTTTGGCTGCCTTGGGGTTTGACTGGTAGGAGGGAAAGGACCGACCTTCCGCGGACTGACTCCTTGGCCAATTTTACTCTCTTTTTTGCCGAATTCTACGATCCGTATTCCCGTAGAAACTTTCGGGCCCGGTGGAGGCTACTCATACGCCCGGTGTTGTTGGTTTAGCTTCTTTGACGAACAACTTGCGGTTTGTTTGATCGTACATGTAAGTCTATCTGTAGTCGCAAGCTTGCAGCATAACAACAAAAGTTGACGTTTTCTCCACCAGTGCTAGAGAACGCATGACAAGTATTTCTCGCAGTATAAATAAAACAAAGACCTTAAAAGCTTTTCAACTTATTCAACTTACGGAACCTCTAAACAAAACATTCTACAAAGCTACACGACCTCAGTTAAGGCCATGGCTATTTATCGCAAGGACAGGCGTTTTCCGCTTCAGTTCTCTACCATAACAGACACGCAAACATTGCAACAATGCAGGTTAAGTGATTTGAGTCCCTCGTCTTTTATACATGTAGCGAATTTCTGACATTCTGTAGCGGATATTGCAACAGTAACGATACGCCACTTAGTGGTCAATAACGGAGAGTTTTCATAACGGGTGGGAATAATGAGGTGGACATTGTCACAGTGGTTTTTAAATGGAGTTCATAGCACATGAAAAGGACACACAGCTTGAAATAACTATAAAACTCCAAGTAAATGGTAGAAAGCACAGCTAGCTCCCGTGTTTGGACGGTAAAACAACATACATATTGTTAGAAAAAAAACGTACACTTGAAAAAAACGTACATATTTTACATCACAAAATCTGATAGTTATTTCAAATTGTCCTTTTTCGTAAAGTCCTTGCAAAAACAACAGTGACAAAAAACCATTGCCAAATAATGCACATATGTGGATATACATTTCTAATATATATAATACACATGTACAACACCACATATCATGTTCGCAACACAAGCTTTCTCTTACTGACTGAAACTTCATCCATTTTAATTCCCCCAAAGCACTTATGTAATCCCGGTATCTCTGCGTGTTGTATTCTCTTGATAACGTCAAACCGAGAAACGCTATACGGGCCAGTTTAGACTACAGCGTACAGACGCACTGAGCTTGGATCATACTTCGGTCCAGAAAAACTGGGGCAAATGTTCATAACATGTTAAAATTCATGAAAGTTAACTTTTTTTGCGATAATGGTGTCTAGAATTATATCTAGTCAACCAAATCCGTACTTGTGTTTAGATTTATATCTACCAGTATAACCCCCCTTCGGCGTAATGTTGACACCAACTTGGCAAGCAAGGGGCGGGGGCAGCTGGCTATGTTACACTGAACGACTCGTCACACCTTCGCGCATTCAACTCTAATTTCTGATTTTTTGAAATGATTTATGATTGGAAAGGTTTCTCTCTGCAATATTCGATAATAGTCTGTTGGAGACAACAAAAAATTATGTGACAAAACGGCCCGAGAAAGCACCGAGAAAGACCAAACCTGCTCACCTGTACAGACGGCCCTTGTCTCACCTGTATTCTCACCTGTTCCATATCTTAACTTTGATCTGATATCGATAAGCGATCCATTAATAACTGCACACCTGATACAGACGGGTGCGTTACTCGTCCGGCGTGAAAAGCGATGAAACAAAAAACCATGTCGCTGGTTCAGGTGTTAACAAGGCACGTCCTCCCGTTTCTTAAGCACCGAAGTTTTTTTTAAATTATTATTCCAACATTTCATGACTAGACATGGTAACGGCACACTCAAGTTATATCAACTTATTTTATGCCGTCACCAACGCAGATAGAGGACAAATACGGAGCAGGACAATACTCATTTTCACCTGAGTTAAAAGTGAGGAAAGTCGTGGGAAAGGCACAAGATCGGTGGCATGTCAGGACTCGAACTCGGGAACTCTTGGTTCCGAGTCGAGCACTCTGCCGCCACGCCACAGGACCCCACTGTATTAAAACGCTGAAGCTTCACACTGACAGTTTAGAAAGAACCTCCCAGGAGTGAGCTTACCTCATAAACTTGAAGAAAGTCTTCACGGTGCTTAAACATCTTCCCAAAAGCCAAAGGAATCACTTAAGAAACCCCGGCCACAATGGCGGGACCTGAACTGAGACACCTGAGGCACAACACCCGGCATACAAACTCTCTCGGCCGGAAAATGTGGCAAAAAGAAAGCTTTCGCCCGGGACTGTGGCAGTAACCCTACCCGGGGTGTGCTACAGGCCTGTTTGTCACTAGCCTGGTGACCTCTTGTTGCATCCAGAACCGAGCTTTTTGCATCCAGAACCGAGCTTTATCCAGAACCACGTGCACACTCAGGCACGGTTTTGGATAGTTTATTGTATTCATACAATGTATATATACAATGTGTATTTAAGCGTTAATTGTATTTTCACTGTCCTTTTTATTGTTTTGTTATGTATTGATGAATAAAAGAATAAAAAAAATCGTATGTGGGGTCGTGTGGCGCAGCGGCAGAGTGCTCGACTCGGAACCAAGAGGTCCCGGGTTCAAGTCCTGACATGCCAGCGATCTTGTGCCCTTGGGAAAGGCGCTTTACACGACTTTCCTCACTTTTAACTCAGGTGAAGATGAGTATTGTATTGTCCCCTGTGTTGGTGGCGGCATTAATATAAGTTTAAAAAAAACTTGAGTGTGCCGTCACCACGTCTGGTGATTACATGTTGGAATATTTAAAAGAATCGTATACGTGTCGCACAAAACACTGCCGTGTTGTCTGATGTAGTCGTGGCAGTTTGTTTTTCCTCCTATTAAACGGTTCTGCTGTTGCTGCTGTTGTTGTTGACAATAATGCTGCGTCTGTTTACACACTCTGTAACGATCGTGTTGGATCTCCTCATTGTTTATTTTTCAAAACGCAAACAATACCCTCCTCTTGGCTTGTCCGCGCCCCTCTTGTTACCGGCGACCTACATAAACAGGCCTTTCATAGCTGCACGCCCGACCAACTCTCTCCTACTCGTGGTCTATTGTTAGCATGTTCGCCCTTTTAGCGTTTATTTAGAACCTTTTTGTTTCTCGCTCGATCCGTGAATCTTATGTAAACATTTCACCGATGAAGAGTATCGGACAGACACTTGAAGCGTCTGACAATTAAATTCTTATTATTTAAGAGTGGTAAAGTTTGAAACACTATTTCATCGATATAACCCTTGATGTCTAATCTTCACAAGAGCCCTTTTAAATAGACTCTACCAGGTTTCAGAAGTGTCTGTAAATTGGCCAAACATACAGATGGCATGCATTTCCATTACCTTCTTTATTTATTTCATTTGTTGTATTTTATTCGCTTGTTTCATATAAGTTATTAGTTTACCGTATGATTTTGAAGCACTTTACCAATATGTTATTTTTGCAATTAAGCTAATTGTACCTTTGTTTTCCTGTTTGTTATTTTAAGCTAATAAGTATATTTTGTAAATGTATATGTCCGCAGGGAACATTGCAAAACGCCCTTGCGGCGACATGTTTACCCTGGGTAAATAAATAAAAATGAAATGAAATGAAATGAAATGAAATGAAAGAGGATTTGGTTCGCTAGAGCTAGGCACGGTAGCCGCTCTTTGCAGCCGATTCCAAAGTCTGGTTGTACGTGAAAATTTCGTTCATTTTATAAAATTAAAATTCTTAGCGAGACTATCAACATCTAAACAGAGAAAGTTTTTCCATTGCTCCGTGTCCGATCTACCGATCTGCAGGCCCGCTCCAGCGATCCGCGCCAGGCGACGCCCTCCTACCCTGAATAGTTACCATCAGAAGTGGCCCTTAATTCCGCACGCCACCATTCCCGTACCACGCAGCTATTGTACGCAATCTTCAGGCTGAGAGGGAATCCGATACGAGATGTTTACTAAACAGAGAGGTCGGGTGTGTGATTGTACCAGTGTCGGGCTGGGGTCGTGGGAAGGTCCCGGGTCGATCGTAGGACAAGGTCGGGTCGAGATCGGCCGGAACTGTTCAAATGATGAAATACAAATTAAAACGAAGTGCGGAAGCACATCTCTATTACGGGTCCGCATGTTATGAGTTATGAGTACATATACTGCAATCATGATTCATGATACTTTGCTTGTACACAGGGCAGCCAAGACTGACTGGAGTAAGATCGTGTCAGCTTAGTTACTATGCGCTTGTCAGAGCTCAGTTTGAAAGCACCTGCAAAACCTAAATTCCATACGATTGTTTACAGACGTAATATTAGGACTTCAAAATCTTTGAATATTAAAAGTCTGCCTGCTCTGAAGCCAAAAGGGAATCGTCACAAACAGAAACCCTATATTACAACAATAAATCAAAGGAACAATTTCCCAACAAAATAAGTTAAGGTTGCAAGTCGTAACTTTATCCAACCTAAACAGTAGACCGTTTTGGGCCCGCCAAATCTCCTATAAACACCTGTTCCATAAAAGGTGTGCCAACAGGTGTGTCATAACAAGTGTGTTCTGACAGGTGTACAACAAGAGCTGACCTCGCCTTCGAACAAGTGCCAAGGTCACGCCTGATCACAAACGGCCGCCATCTTGGGACCTACCGCGACCTTTGACCTCGCGAGCGTGTTACGCGCCAAATACTACATGACTGTGATGTGGGAGACTAAACCTAACCTAACCCCAATAGCAAGTCTAACCCTAGTCCTGAACAATAATCCCAACTCTAACCCTAATTCTAATACCAACCTCAACCCTAACCCTAAACACTAACCTCTTGAGTCTCACGTATGTGGCAGATCAAGGATTTGGCTCAACACCGTCCGGTGACTTCAAGTCATTTTCAACAAACCGGTGCGCTATGAAACTTTGTTATGGCTACAGGTACTTCGCATAGTTCATGTTAACTATTCCGTAACGCTATGATGGTGTTTCAAAGGGTTGTTATAACGTTACATGTTTGCGCGTAATAGTAGCAGTGAGGGCTCTGTACTGTATAAACAAACCAGAGCTTTTGTTGGTTAAACATTGCTCAACCTTCTTGGCAAACGTCAACTTAACAGAATTCAACAGACGGCCTGGGTGCCAACGTCTAACAGTAACTAATGTGAACCTAAAAGATTAAAGCTGGTCACCTTAAAGTTTGAAACACAGAAGAAAACTTTGAAAACTTAAATCTTGTATGTTCTTGTAAATCTATCGGTGGATGACGCGTTTCAGCGTCGTGCTCTTAAAAGTCAATAAAATGATTTTCAAAGACTAAAGTGACTAGTGCATAGCCATATAGAGGATATAACGCTGATAATATGATTATCAAAGATAATATGTATCTCACGTTCCATTCATGTGTCATACGACAGTCACGCCTCGGCTACTATTGTTTACAGTCTCAGCTGCCAGGAGTATCAACGTTACATGTCGGTGCTGGGGACTGTGTCGCCTGTACTTAGCACTTACTGCAAATGTTGTGACGTTTTCATTCAACAAATCAGTAGTATCTACCAGGCACCGAGAATCGCTGGAAAAATAGTAGAAATTCGCCAAAATATAGGGAGTATGATATCATACCAGGAGTCCCAAAATGTACTCTCTCTCACTTTTATACGGCGGCTTTGTTTCAGACGCTAACTGTTGTAGGATAGACTAACTTATGCCGAGTCCCACTAGTAGCATACACAAAGCTCGGTCACAACTTCACGGTAATTTTGTGACACAAATAGAGAACAACTTACCTTGTCAGGCTTTAGTATACAGCATTGAAAAGTCTGCCCGAATCACTGCATAACAATCACTCGGCGACTTCCCTCCTGCCTTCGCAGTTTCGGGTGTAAGTTTTACCATACTGTACTCTACCCGTGCGGACGGTTGGAACTTGGATACTGACTGGGTGTTTTGGGAAGGGTGCGGGTAAAGTATAAGATCTTCGCTAGCCGGGCACTTCAGTAGCCTCTACAGAAGTTGTTGTAGCGAGACTATCCCCCATCCACCCCGACCAAAGCACGGGGACCAACGGAGCATAGGGAAACTGAGTCCTGTACGGGCGCGTCTCAAAACATCGCGCGGCTTTCGTAAAAGAAACGTCACTCCGCGTTTCAGTCTCCCAATGTCCCCCAACTGGAAATATTCTGAAGAAGGCAATCCTTTATGATATTGACACATACTGCTTCACATTAGCACATTTGAGTTAGCATTTCAGACTTTGGGTATTTAAAACTGCAGAAACGAGCCGCAAGATGAGTCCTTTATTTTGTTGGTGGTACCGTAAAAGTCAGCCAAGGGCCCTTCCATAACCATTTTCCGTCAGAATTTTGGGTATTTTTGCTCCATGGGGGTAAATACACATTGACATAGTGTGGTTTAACTCACTATGTAGACAAAAAGTGACAAGTGACAAGAATGTTGACTTTGAAAAATCGGGTTTCCAAGCCCTGAAAACTGCACTGGATGCAGACCTGCACTCTTAGTTGTATGATAACGATTGCCGTTCCGTAATTCCTACTCAAGTCTCTCCCGGCGAAACAACTTTGAATAAGCTGATGAAGAACTTCTGCACCCATCCCGAGCGGGAGTGACAGGTGGGGGTCTGCGGGGGGTGTCCGCTGAACCGGAACCGCTACAATGTGGCTCTACAGGGGTACTCGGGGTCACCTGTATTTGCACAGGTAAACAGGATCGGGGATGGGTCAATGCCCTCGGACGTTATTCCATATTTGGTAGGCTGCCAAATAAGGCTTCGGACGAGAAGAAATGAAAAGTGGGGAAAGTAAAGTGATGACGAACCATCCTACCGAACAATAGGCGGGAACAACAATAGAACCCAGCTGATATGTTTCAGACCGACATTAGTCGACCAATACCCGACCTCACAGAACACCAGCCCGACAACAGCCGGCCTTGCTCCCGACCTAGCCTGTACCAGGCTTCGGCAGGCGTCCCAACCTAGCCTGTACCAGGCTTCGGCAGGCGTCCCAACCTAGCCTGTACCAGGCTTCGGCAGGCGGCTGGAAAGAGTAGAAACACAGGTCAAATACAGAGTTAACATGCCAGGGAGTTGGCCCGCTAGAGAGTACATTTTGACGCACCTCCTTTTGCCAAATTTTGCTCTTTCCGTCCGCCTCCCGAAGCCTGGTAGAGCCAGGCTACTCCTAACCATGGTTATGGTTATGGGGAGTTCGGGAGGCTATATTCGGCCGGCTGTGTGTGACAGGGGCATAAGCCCTTAACCCGGTGTAAAAGGGACGGTGAGCCGACAGCTGGTCTTAACCGTACACATTGATTAGGGCAAAATCCACGGAGCTCAGGAAGGCATGTCTACAGTTTGTGCTTATAAACCTGCTTTTCTGACAACTCAGAGTCATTGACGAAAGATAGTGGACGCTACCTGAAACATCTGACCCGTTTCCAAAATCATATTCAGGTGCTTGAGTAAGTGTTTTACACTCACACACACACACACACACACACACACACAAACACACACACACACTCACACACACACACACACACAGACAAACACACACACTTTAAGACGGGGGGCGTAACAGACTTCTATGAACGTTTGACCTCTGACCACCCTCCGCCTTTCAGATGAGAAGTGTGACGTATGGATGACGTACCTCCTTCTTGAACTTGAAACAGAACCCTCCCCTCCCCATCACTGGCGGGGCCAAGGTTAAACTTCTCCTCAAGGATGGGCACGAGATCTTCTACCGTGGTCGTATTGCGCACGCGCACGGCCTTGGTCACCTCTCGTTCCCCGTCCTCGTAGTAGAACCGTAAAGCGCCCTCGTACTCGGTTTTCTGAAAAAAAAAAAGATATTTGCGGGGTTAGAAATATTTACTATCATACTAGAATTGTAAGATTTCCAAGGCAATTTACAATATTAACTTTCACATAGCCTAGCTAAACAAACTACTGCTCTGTATAATCTTATTCTTTGTTTTAAAAGTCAATCGTCAGGACTGATGGCGACAGCTCACCAGTGGGTGGTGGTGCTTTTTGCACTGCTGGCCCCCCACCCCGAGGGAATATTGAACTAAGGGCCGAAATTCCCCATGATGGGTGGCGTTCAACTGACGAACCCACTGGTGAGGCATACCACTACCATCATACAAGGTGAGTTTTTTAAACTGTGAACAAATGAAATCTTAGGTTATTCCACCTTATGGTTTTCGTCACATCCGGTAAATTGAATGGGTCCACACGTCAGTTCCGGTTGATTGCAGACATCGTAAATGAATAACGAGTACAGAAAAAGGTGCAGGATTTAGTACCTGCTTTTTGGCGAGTGACAAGGAAACAATGACAGGAGGAAAGGAGTTGCCAGTTGTGCGTTACGGCGTTTCCTGCTCTTAGTGCACACAAAGGTTTCCGCACAGTCGCCACATTGTGAACTGTGTGTGGCGACAATAGGACCTGCTACAATGTAGCCACGTCAAGCCGCTACACACCCTCCGTGTACACACATAAGGTTGTCATATGTCATATAGGTGAACATAGGCCACCTGTAATACGTCATACAGGTGAACATGGGCCACCTGATACAGGTAGACACGCACCACCTGTTATATCTCCATACAGGTGGATATGTAGCACCTGTCAAGCGTAATACAGGTGAACAAGTGCCACCTGCTATGCGTTTCGCAGGTTGATACTTGCCACCTGTCAAGTGGGCATTCACCGTCTCTTCATCTTTCAAAAGTGGTACGTTTTGTAGCATGTCGCCTGTTCGAGCGGCGAGACTACATGTGGATAGTATCCAGTAAGCAAACAATCTAGCCTAGGTCCATGACTGAATGGGTTAGGGTTAGGATCAGGCACGGTTCTGGATAGTCTCTATTGTATCAGAGAGTATCCAAGAACGTAGATCTGCCCCTAGACACGATTTTGGATACGCTTGGACTATCCAGAACCGTGCGAGGACATGGTTCTGGATAAAGCACGGTTCTGGATAGTCTCCATGTATCCCAGAACGTAGATTTGCCCCAGGCACGGTTCTGGATACGAGTGGACTATCCAGAACCGTGCGAGAGCATGATTCTGGATAAGGCACGGTTCTGGATACAACAACATGGGTTTAAAATCCGCCACGTACGGAGGATTATCACACACACACGTTTGTCAACAAGCGCTATCAAATTACGTAATTAGCGACCATCAATCTTGTCGTTTTTCGCGTTGCCATGGCAACAGATTGTGACGATGTTGACGTAAGGATGTGTGCCGGTAAGTGGCTTCCGGTGTCACTTACTGCAGGCTCAAAGTTAGGGTATTTTTCATCAGGACTGTGTTTTTTGTGCGACGTACATTGGCTGTTCTGAAATCACCCAAACATCACAAATTTACGGCCAAACAGAGAAGTTGGAAGAAAACAACTTTAGGTTCAAAATCTACATTAGGCCAACCAACCAACCAACCAACCAACCAACCAACCAACCAACCAACCAACCCACCAACCAACCAACCAACCAACCAACCAACCAACCAACCAAATCTATTTATCAATCAAGCTATACTCACCAGCCAACCCCGACCGACTGACCAACTAAGAAACAAACATTGACGACAGACCAGCCCCCCTCTGTGATACCTTGGGGAGGTAACGTTCATTGTTTTCTCGACTGTTTTCTACAATGGACCAGCGTTCCGTTGCAGATCTAAAAGCTTTCTTACGGATAAGAATTTCTTTTTCCATCACCGGAGTGTTTTATGAACAGATGAACCGGATTATAATGTGCGATTTACTACAAAACGTCACCTTACAAGTCCGCTCTACCGTCTGGACACGCAAAATCCTTAACGGTAAACCTTTCACTGTCACTTGAACGTGATGTTCACGGCTCTGGAAAATCTGAACACAAAATTCCTGCTCGGAACGCATTACTAAAGTCTCTTTCAGTCAGTCTTCCAAAACTGGATGAAAAATTTTGTTTCTTTCTTTGTTTTGCATAACTGGTAAACCGCCTTTAGGCGCAACACACCAGTTTTCAATATCGGTATGTTGACTTCTGGTTTCGCCGTTCCCAGATTCTTTCCATACCACACGAAGTTGACATGCATTTGATACAGCTGCTCATTGTACTCTTTAGGAATATAGAATAGCGTAGCTTAGAATTTACGTGTAGAGGTGCACTAGTTCTTAGTCAGTAGTTCTATTCAACATTCTGCCAGACATGATACCCGTTGAACCTATATAGAGAACCTTGCTAGACATATACCAGCTACCAGCTTTTTTTACGTGTTGTACATATTGTAATTGTCGTGAATCTGTATGTTCTGTTCGTACCTACGTTGTATTTTTATGTATTAGCACAATTCAGCTAGTAATTCAGCTAAAGCTAGTAATCTTGTTATCTGTCATACATTGTACCTGTTACAATCGTTGTGCAATGAACTTTGCCTTGACTTTGAAAAAAAGAAACCGTTCTGTTACTTTTGAAGTTCATGGCCGTCCTCTACTCGTGGACCAGGATCTAATTTCCGATGTCTGTTGTCAGACCCACGTGCGGGACCTATTTTTAACACACAGAAACAAGAACTCGCGGTTTACTCAATATATTTCCGTATTTTCATATTTCTCGGTTTGACGTCACTCTTTTATAGTCTGTCATCAGGCCCTTTTGTAACCTGAAAAAATTAGCAAAAAAGGCCAAAAAGGGAAAATATTTTAAAACCAAACAGCTAGCTTTTTAATCGCCACTTTCGAATTGTTTATAAGCTGGTCCCTGGTGCCATTTATATGCCCTAGGTAGCCTGGTTCCTCCTGTTTGTGTCTGTAGCCGAAAGCGCCTGATCGAGGCTATCCCTATCCAGGGGAGCGGCCCACACTGAGGCCTGGGCGGTAAAGTTTCCCTGTACAGTTTAGTAAACACAAGGTGCGAGGTCCTGTACAGTAACACTGAATACACGCGGGCACTACGGAACCAGCTTTGTGAATGGTCTTACACATGTCGGCATGAAAGCACCCGGGATTACTGTACATGGCTGTTTCGGGAAGGATTAGCAACGCTTTGTAAGGATTATTGTCCAAGTCGACCGACGATATATTTTTCACTTTCATTGCAAAAATGACAGGAATCTGATGACAGGAAATCTTGCTAAAATGTACGCAGGTTAACAAAGAATTTTTAGTAATGCAGTTGGATTTGAAGGTGAGGAATAAAGAAGACAACCACTTCAGACTTATAAGCAAACAAAGTACTAGACAGACCTCGTAGAACGCAAAGCTCTGCACGTGCAGCATAGATCCATATGCTTCAGTAATATACAGATCGTGAAAAAGCTTCTGAAGCAGTTTAAGGGGAGGCAGCTAGGGGATGGTGCCTCAAAATACAGTCTGAAATCCCGGAGAGAAAGCCCTACTCATCAACATAACTGTAAGGCTGACCTATTACCCTTTTTATATCGCCACATCTTCAGTTACCTGAAGAACTCACAAACAAACAAACAAAACATGAACATTCTTACCAAGGAAAAGAAGACAATCCCACGTCGCACATAAAAACAAACGAAGAACTAGCTACAGACAGAACTAGAAGAAAGCAAAACTTTGCCAACGCAGCATACCTTTAGTAATGACATTATGAAATTTAAGAGTAAGGCTTACCTATTAGCCTTTCTTTGTCACCACGTCTTCAGTTTGCTACTTCAAGAACTTACATCACAAATAAACAAACAAACAAACAAACAAACAAAACATCAACCTTCTTAAGAAGTCTACCGGCCGGAAGAAACACCAAGTTAAGTATGACTCTCTTTCCAATACGATCTGGCTAACGTCTAAGAATCTTTTTTTTATTCCGAAAAAAAAAAAACAGTCAGGAATACAAAATGAAAGGACACAGACAAAGTGACTAAGAACTCAAGTTAGGCACAACTCATATTCTCGCAGCCACTTTTACGATGAAAAATATGGGTATTTTATAAGACGTTTACAAAAGTGTGGATTCATAACAGACCTAGTTGAAGCGTGACAAACCCCCATCCCAGAAAAAAGAAAGAAAAACAGGAGACTAAAAGCTTTCTGTGATGTAGGTTTGTGTGGCTAACATAATTTTACAGTTTGTCATACGAACAGAGCAAACTACCGCGAAGAACTAAAAGTTGTTTAGAATTTGTCAGAAAGGGTTAAGAATTGACCCACTGGCCCTACCTCCTAGCCCCCACTTAACGTTAATGAACAGTCAATTTGTAAAACATCTCGTCCTGACATGTTTCCATTGTGCGAGACGTTAACTCGGCTTGTACCTGTCTGGCTCTAAGTGCTTTCCGGGTTGTTTATTGTCGTGATTTTAGGTTGTTGTAGTTACGAAAAGAACAGTCAGAATATGTGGAACCAAAACAATTTAGTAGTACCAGAGTGCATTTTACTCTCCGAAACCTATCAAATGATAATTCAGGCTAATATCTTATGTAATATTGCTTGTACCTGTCTGGTCCTCAAGTGCTTTCTAGGTTGTTTATTGTCGTGATTTAAGTTGTTGTAGTTACGAAAAGGCCGCACGCAAAGAACTGTCACAATATGTGGAACCAAAACAAGTTACTTAGTAGTACCAGAGTGCATTTTGCTCTCCGGAACCTATCAAATGATAATTCAGGCTAATATCTTATGTAATATTGCTTGTACCTGTCTGGTCCTCAAGTGCTTTCTAGGTTGTTTATTGTCGTGATTTAAGTTGTTGTAGTTACGAAAAGGCCGCACGCTAA